CCCCCTCTAGTTGCCCGCACGAAGGGCACCCCCAACACCTCACACCTCCCACCCCCCACCTTAGCCATAGAACCTCTGTGGTTATACAAAGAGTTATTAGGGGTTACTTATGTATTAGAGACAGTTCTACGCAGAGAAGTAAACTTTTACTTTATAAAAGATAATTATCTTAACATAGATATAAACTCTACATAACTATAATAATACTTATACGCAGTATACATCTTAATTAACATGCGTTATAAGATAGCTAAAAAGAAGTACACACTATAAGACAATAACTTTTAGAAATAGACAACGCATAATTTTAACAACCTTCTTTATGTAATTAGGTAAGAACTTCTTCTTGCTTTAGCTAAGCACAGGCACTATCCTAGAGGCAGGTTAAATTATACGCAAGCTAAAAAGCTAGGAAATATTATAAATAGAAGAAGCACTAAAGGTTAGCTCTAAGAAAGAAAGTAAAAGAGTAAAAAAAAAAGAAAGAAAAAGAAGTAAGATTAACATACAGATAAGTAAGTAACTTTATAAAAGTAAAAAGTTGCTAGTGTCTGTACGTAAGTACAGCTGTGTCTGTACACGCGTATAGCTAAATTAGGTTGCCTAAAACGTTAGCTATCTAGCCTGTGCGTTAGGGGCTATGTGTACTTAAGAGCTCTCTTTCTTTATACAAAGAGAGAGAGCAGTAGTTAATAACAAAAAAATCTTTACCTACTCACCTCTTAGTACGCCCCTTGGGCGTACGTTTGTTCAATTAAACCTAGGTTAACCAACAGTTAGTATAATATAATAGTATATAGTGTAAAGAAAGATATAGTATAAATAAAAGTATTATAATAGTAAAAAGAAAAATATAGTAAATAAAAATATAGTTTAAAAAAAAATAGTAGAGAAATAAAACATAGTATATATAAAAACATAGTAAATAAAAAATATAGTATATAAAAAATATAGTAAAAAGATAGTAAAGAAAAAGTATAGAATAGAAAAAAGCATAGTATAAAATATATAAAGTATAAAAAAAGTATATATAAAAAGTATTATATATAAGCATAGTATAAATAAAAATAAAAGATAAAAGATATAAAATAAAAGAATAAAGGTATATCTAATATATAGCCACAGATCGCTAGCTTTCTGTAACCCTAACTTCCTTATTCCGTTTAGCGCGTCGCCTAAGCGAGCAGCGAACAACTAGAATCCGTCAAACAGAACCCCTGGAATCCGTCCCCCATCCTGTGCCTAGATCCTATTATAATAGTAGGCAAACTTTTAGGCTTTAACCTAAACTTGCCCC